ACTAGGTGCTCCTTAGAGGCAAGGACGGTAAAACTTCATCTCATTTCGGGCATGTGGTCAGGAGATACCAGTCCTTGGAAAAAGGTCCTCAACAAGGTGAATTGAAACAATATCTGCAGCACTGGACTTGAACATGGCAGAGATCGTGAGGATGGTGTGGGTAGGGGAACGTTTTGATTCAGTGTTCATATGGTCACTGTGAGTTGTAATCATCTTGGAGATGCTTCATAACAACAGCAACAACAATAACAGGATTTTTGCAAGAGACAAGTGGGGCGGGGGAGAGGACACAGAGAATTTGGCTGTGGGAAAGTCTGGATCAGAATCCGGAGCAGATCACTCTGAGCTTTGTTTCCTCTTCTGTAAAATGGGACTAATAATTCCCATGGAGAATTCAATGATGTGGACATGTTAAGTACCTGGCACATACCAAATCAAACCTACTGCCATAACGGGCTTGTAGGACAGAGTAGAACTACCCATAGGGTTTCCAATGCTGATGAACCTTTATGGAAGCAGAATGATACATTCTTTTTCCTGAGAGGGTCTGTTGGTGTCTATCCTTAGCTCTTTTAGTTAGAATTCTTTAGCTACTGCACCACAAATTGTAACGTCTGCCTGAATATAACTTATAAATTCTTAGGACAGCAGGCATACATCAAAGAATTACACAAATTTAAGTAAAACCAAAAGATATAGGAAGTGTCTAGAAGGAGAGAGACAAATAGTAGTTGCAATAGTTAGGGAAATTACAAAAAAACCCCCCAAAAACCAAAAAAACAACTTTCCTGTGAAAAAGGATGAATTAAAAGAAGAAAGGAAGTAAGGGAGGGAGATAGAGTGGGAAGAACAAAATAGGAAGTGACCAGGCTTTGGCAGAAGAAAGAACATTCCACTTGGCCAAGTACAGAAAGCAAAGAGGGAGAAGGTACAATTAGATTAGGTAGGCAGGAACTAGAGTCATTGAGGAATTCACTCTTGATTTTGGAAACTATGAAAAACTATTGAATTGTTCTGTACAGGGAGATACTACAATTAATTATATTTGTGTTTATAAAAACTAGCTTGTAGTATAGAGAACAAAATGGAGAAAGGTAGGAGAGGATGTAGAAAGACTACTTAGAATGATTTTCAATTTCTTCAGAGAAGAAATAAAGAAATTTAGGAAGCAGGAATGGCATGCACTTCCTAAACAACATGTCTCCAGAAACTCTATGAACTTTGATAAATGTTGATGGTTGTAAGAGGGGCTTCAGGCCTTTTGTTCATGGGGTCGCTATGAGTTGTGCTTAACTCAAAGGCAGTCAACAACAACAACAATTTAAAGTGATGGTGTTGTGGTTGTTATGTGTAATTGAGTTGCCTGTGGCTCATGTACATTAGCTCTGAAACATGCCCTATCCTGAGACAATCTCATAGTCTTTAACAAACCTATAGACCTGTTTGCTCTCCTGACAGTCCACGGTACAACACCACAACTCAAACGCATCGATCCTTCTTCTATCATCCTTAGTTATTGTCTGCTCTCGGATGCAGAGCAAGTACTTGTGAAGACTGTGGCCTGGATCAGCACATCTCAGTCTCTAGACTGACACCATTGCTCGTCAGTACTCTAGAGAGGTCCCTGACAACAGACTTTCCCAATACAATTTGTCTTTTGATTTCCTGACTACTGGTGCCAAGAGTATTGATTGTGGAACAAGCAAACTGAAGTTATCAACAGTCACAATCTCTTCTCCGTCCATCATGAAGCTGCTAATTGGCCAGTGGTGAGAATCTTTGTCTTCTCAACGTTGAGCTTCAAGCCATATTGAAAGCTACAGTCCTTGACCTTCTTCAGCAAATGCTCAGGTCCTCTTCAGTTTCAGCAAGCAAGGTTGTGTCATCTGCATCATGCAGGTTCTTGATGAGTCTTCCTCCAAAGATAACATTTCTTAAAAGGCATATGATGGTTTGAACAGACATTAGGAAGGTAAAATGGACAGCATTTGGATATGGAGGATGAAAGACAAGGAACAGTCAAGGAAGGCATCCACATATCTGGTTTGTACATCTGAGGGACAATGAGTCAATAACTGACAAGGTAGAGTTGAGGGGGTTTTGATGTATATAAGAGAACATGCAAGTGGAAGTTTGTAGGTTAGAACAGCTCAGAGAGGTGGCCAAGTTAGAAAAATAAGTTTGTGAATCATGTGCACAGAAGTAGTAATTAAAACCATGGATTATGAATGTGATCATCTACAGAGTATAAAGTTAGAGCAGAAGAGGGTTTAAGGATGAGTTTTGAACAATTTTATACTTAAAAGTCAATAGAGAAGGAATAAGAGTCAAAGGATTTTATTAGGGAATTTAATTAGGAATTAGGGAAATTATGGACAGGAAATTGTGGGAGAGATCAGAAAAGAGATATAACACAGAAGCCACTGGAAGAGAATGTTTCAAGAAGGATTAAGTAATATCTCTTGGATTTAACATTGTAGAAGCCACTGCTACCCTTAGGTCAAGCTAAATTGATAGTTAAATTGGGCCCAACGCTACATAGACTTGAGTTGAGGAATAGGTAAGAAGTGAAATGAATAATGTAGGAATAGCAGTTGATTCAAGTACTTTGTGATGCAGAGAAGAAATCTGTGATCATAACTGGAAGGGATGAGGGGCTAAGTGAAGATCTCTTCATTTTTAAACTGGAAAGATGCCAATGTGTTTAAGAGAATTATTCTGTTGGGAAGAGAACTGATTTCAATAGAAGAGAGAATGAAAGTAAATGCTAGAGCCTAGCAAGAAGATATGGGGCCAGTGCAGAAGTGAAAGAAAAATAGAGTGCCTCTTGGAAATTATGGAAAACGGGTGGCTGCATATGGGACCTTACATCTGATGACTTTTGGTTGTTTTTGGTTTGTTTCTGTAAAACAAGAGACATGATGATGCTTAATAAGAGCGAACGAGGAAAGAGGTGCAAGGGACTAAAGATGATGGAAAAATCATTGTCAAGAGTGGGGAATAAAAAAAAAAAGTCGGGAATAACTGGAGTATTGAGTACATGGAGTAGTGTTGCAGGTTAAAGTTAAGACTGTTGTTGTTAAGCATCATCCAGTTAACTATGTCTTCTGGTGACCTATGAAGAACAGATCTGAACCTTTCCCTATTCTTCACCATCTTAAGAGTCCATTAATGTACAAGTTAATTTCTGTCTTTATCCCACAACACCGAGCAGCTCACATGTGAGCAAAGACGTACTGCATAGTTTTGTTCCCTAACCTGGCTTAGAAAGAGGTCAAGGAGTTTTTAGGGTATTTACACCCTACATAAGGAGTTTGGTGGCTTAGCAATAAAAAGTTGCACTGCCAACTCTAAGGCTTGTGGTTCTGATTCGCCAGCTTCCCTGAGGGAGAAAGATAGGCAGTTTCCTCGTTTGCAACTTAAACGTCTTTGAAAAGCTGCTGAAGGCTTAGTTTTGAATAAGTTCTGACTCAGCAGCACACAACAGCAACAACAACATGTCCTCCACTAAAAAATGAAGACACACAGATAATTAAGGCAATGTTGCTTAAGAAGATCTAGGAAGGGGCACTTGTGCTTCTAAGATAATAAAATACATTATAAAGCCATGCAGTGGGCTTGGGGAGCAAATAAAACAGCAGAAATAATGGAAGTTGTTAACGAGAACCTAATTTGCCATATAAATTTCCCCAAAATCACAATAAAATATTTTTAAAGCAGTCTGCAATACGGGTAAAATGAAGTTTCAATGAAATTCAATATTAGTGAATAAACTCCTAATGGACTGAAGAGCTAGTTGTGAAAAAGAAAACTATAAAACTAATAGGAAAACTCATTAAAGAATATCTGAGTGAACTCAGCATTGTATATGAGACCATAAAGCTGCAGTTCATTGGGAGGGAAACTGGTGGCTTTGACTAGATCACGGTTCTTCCTGGGACATGAAGAATTCTGAGGATAAGAATAACTTGTGACAGAAAGGAAACACTATTTGTAAATGATAAGGAATTCATACCTTTCAGGACAAAACAAAATCAAATCCAGACTCATAGCTAGCTGTCTCGTTGGTTCTGACTCATCGTGACCTCACAGGACAGAATAGGGTTTCCAAGGCTGAAATCTTTACTGCGGCCACATCTCTCCCCCAGAGTGACTGGTGAAGTCAAACCATTAACCTTTAGATAAATGAAAGTCGAGCACTTTAACTACCGTGTCACCAGATCCCCTTAATTCACAACATTGCTTCTACCAGTCAAATGGAATTAGTACTTAAGACTGATTAGATTTAGACAGTTTCTTCCAAAAGCTTTTCCTCATCTAATGCTCTACGATTTTGTTAGAGGCATAGCAGCTGCAGGCAGCATACCAGAAGCAAGCAGGCAGAAGAGTTGAAACAGCCTCAGGGGTTAGGTCTACCAGCTCTTCTGCAGTGTCTTTGAAAAACTGGGATGGTTAACTTGGGAGAACACCAGGTAGTAAAGATAATGCAGAGATGGAGGCCATAGAGACTGTTCAAATGTTACGGAGCCAGAAGTTTGTACTTTGGTATACTTTTTCCAAAGGAATACTTCCCTTTAATATTTTAAAGTTATAAGAATACAGCTGAATTGCTCAGCCTGGCTACGTAAAGAGTGTTTGCTTTGGATTGTGCACACTCCTCTCTCCTCTCCTCCCCCAAAGAAGTGGGACAGGTCCTCTAGTGAAATAAGCAAGATCATCACCTAGTGGCCGTGCCCTCAAAATGCTGAGGCAAGATCCCTGGTCCCAAAGAGCACCTGAAAGGATGTGCCCAACCCTTGTGCTCTTAACACGTTTATTCAACCAGTGTGGGGCCTGTGACTCTATGCCAGGCACTATTTTGGTGTCTGCGGAGAGAGAGCTGCGAGAACAAAATGACAGGCTTAAAATGGAAGTAAAGTAAGTGTCAACCCAGAAACTTGGAAGCCCTCCCAACGTGACATTGTTTCTTAATATGTTTCCTTCTCCTTGGTCTCCTGTAGATCATAGACGAAGAAGAAACACAGTTTATGAGTAACTGCCCTGTGGCTGTCACGGAGAGCACCCCCCGGAGGCGGACCCGGATCCAGGTGTTTTGGATCGCTCCACCAGCGGGAACTGGCTGTGTGATTCTCAAGTAAGTGAAGAGGAAACCCTTGTACCACTCCTCCCCCTTCTCTGCATCATATCAAAGACTTCAGGGTGTTGTTGCAGAAAAACAGTGGGACTTTACCAGGGTGTCAGACAAGTTGTGATCCCAACTCTAAAGTGGGACATGGGCCACTGTTTTACTTTGCTAGGGTTTGCTGTAACAGAAATACCACAGGTGAGTGGTTTTCAAGAATGTTGTTGCTGCTGTGTACTGTTGAGTTGGAATCGATTCATAGCTCACCGACCCTCCAGTGGGTTTACTACTCTTCTGTAAATCACATGGAAAGAGATTGCTCACCTCGCCATCTTGGAGCAGGGGATTGATTCAAAGTTTTTGGTCGGCCATCCCCAAATCCCTTCATATCCACTTCATACCCATCATATCCATCAGTAGTTTATTTTCTCACAGTTTAGAAGGCTAGAACTCTGAATTCAGGACACTAGGGGAAGGTTTGCTCGCTCTCTCTTGACTCGGGGTGAGATGGGGTGGGAAATCCTTGTTTTAGCATCTCTAGCAGTTCATCCTTGGAGTTTCTAGTCAAGCTGGTCTACTTTAACTTACCTTCCAATAGTATCAGTGTTCCCTGCATTTGCTTTCCCCTATGCCTGCCCTCAAGATTTTTCCCATGGCATCAATCAGTGTTGCAACTCAAGGCTTGAATTTGTTTTTCAGTTCTTCCAGCTTGAGAAATGCCAGCGAGTTCTTCCCATTCTATTCTCTGACTCTGGCTCTTTGCACATTTCATTGTAATACTATGTCTTCTCGAGCTGCTCTTTGAAATCTGTTCAGCTGTTTTACTTCAACATCTCTTCCTTTTGGTTTGGTTTCTCAACACTCTAGTACAATTTTCTTAGTTTCTCCTGATACCCATTTTGGCTTGTTCTTTCTCTTTGTAATGACCTTTTTGCTCCTTTCATGGATGATACCCTTGATGTCATCCCACAAATCATTTGGTTTTCAATCATTGGTAATTAATGACTCAAACTTGTTCTTAACATGATTTTTTTTTTCAATTCATGTGGAACCGACTCAAGAGCATATCTTGCTCCTTGTGGATTCGTTTCTTCAGTTTCAATTTTAATTTGCACGTGAGTAACGAATGTTCTTAATTCAGGTGGAATTGACTAAAAATTGTATTTTGCTTCTTATGAATTTGTTTTAATCTTCTTTAGCTTCAATTTGAACTTGCATATGAGTAATTAATGGTACACAGTCAGCACCTCGCCTGGTTCTGCCTCCTGAATTGAGATTCTCCAATGATTCTTTCCACAGATGTAGTCAATCTGATTCCTGTGTAGACCATCAGGTGAGGTCAGGTGTAAATTCAACATCTGTGTTTCTTGAAAAAGATGGTTGCTATGAATACATCATTGAATTTACAAAATTCAGTCATTAACTCTCCTGCCTCATTTCTGTCACCAAGTCCATACTTTACTCATGGTTTCCAACTTTTGCTTCCAGTCTCAGTAATTATTAACACGTCTTGATTGCATGTTTGATCAATTTCAGACTGCAAAAAAGTTAATAGAAATCCTCGATTTCCTCCTCTTTGGCTTTGGTTATTGGCACATATATTTGAATAATTTGAATGTTATCAAGTCTTCCTTGTATACATGTGAATATAACTTATCACTCAAAACAATTTTACTTTGGGATAGATCTTGAAATTGTCCTTTTCATTATGAATGCCATACCATTCTTCCTCAGTTTTCATTCTCAGCATTGTAGATCGTATAATTGTTTGATTCAAAGTGACCCATGCCGGTTGATTTCAGTCCACTAACGCATAGAATGTTGATCTTCATGTGTTCCGTTTCAGTTTGACAACTTCTGGCTTTCCTACATTTATAGTTTGTACATTCCATGTTCCAGTTACTAATGATTATTTGCAGCTGTTTCTCCTCATGTTAAAGTGACTTTTTATCTGAGCTCTTCCTTTAACACTATAGCTACCTGCATTTCTCTGTTGTTCATCAGACTTTCAAAGGTCTGTTATTTCAGAAGTGGGTGGCCAGTCCTGCTTCCTAATTTGCCTTAATCTAGGAGAGCTGCTGCAGTCTGTCCACAGGGGGTGACCCTTCTGGCCTTTGACACACCAGTGGCATGTTTGCAGCCTCACAACAACCCACATATTACACCAGTACAGAGGACTAACAGACAAGTGCTGTATTAATAAGAGCAAATAATTAACAAGCAAGCTTATAAATACCCATCTATAAAGTAATTGTTGTTGTTGTTGTGTGCCTTCACATCAGAAGTAATTATTGTGTGCCTTTGAGTCAGAACAGAGCCATTTCTGATGCTTTCTACAGCAGGTTTTCAGAGGCGGTTAATTGCACCCATTCTTCTTCAGGGGAGCAGATGGTGGAGTCAAATCATTTGCCTTCAGGATTCCAACACAGTTTTCTTACTTCTAGGTCACCATAACTCCCTCTAAAGTAACTGTTGTTGGTGTGTTGTTAAGTGCCATTGAGTTGAACATGACTCATAGTAACCCTGTGAACAAAAGACCTTAACCGTGTTCTATAACGATCGTCATTTCTCTAAATTTATTGTTTCCAGAAGCATGTAGTTTAGGAAGTGGATGCCACTCCTGCTTCCAAGCCTGTCTTAATCTGGGAGCTCCACCAAACACTGCCCACCGTGGATAACCATTATGGCATTTGCCTCACCAATGACACAGTGTTCAGTATCACAGCAAACCAAGGTTGCCTCAGTACAGCAAATTGACAGACCACTTAGAATAGCAGCATGCAAATCAATCCCCACTGTAAAGAACGGACAGATAAGTGTTGTACCTTGAAACATTGTAAGAAGATGAAAGGAATACACAGAGTCCCTATACCAAAAAGAATTGGTCAACACTGAACAATTTCAGGAAGTACCAAATGAGCAAGAGCCTGTGGTAACAAAGGAAGTTCAAGCTGCACTGGAGACACTGGCAGAAAAATAAGACTGCAGGAAGAGCTGAGACACTCATTGACATGTTTCAACTAACAGATTCAATTCTGAACATGCTCACTGGTGTATGCCAGGAAACTTAGAAAAAACTTGACTGGTTGACTGAAAAAGATCCCTGTGGGACTGGTGGACTCAAATCTCCGAGAGAGGTGCCTTTTAGGTTAGTAGCTCGGCATCCTAATGACTACAACACCAGAGGTCAGACATGTGGTGGTGGTGAGGTACTAGACCCTCCACCAGTCACTTCTCAGGAGAAAGAAGGGCCATCTCCTCCTCCGCAGTCGGCAGCCTCTGAAAAACTGCTTCAGGGTCAACTGTGAGTCAGTTCTAACTCAAGAGCAAGAAGATATTGATGAGATGAGGCCCAACTGCCCCTTTGTATCTCAAAAATTATTAGTTTAAGACACATCCTACACAGATTTGACCTCATTACCGTAATAAAGGAAACCCTATTCCACATGAAATTGCATCCATGCAAAGACTAAGATGTACAAACACTTATTCGGGGTGACATAGTTCAATCCATAACAAATGCCATTGGAAAAGTGCTGTATAAAGAATCAATGGTCCAATCTCCCTTTTCTTGGTCATTCTCTCTCTTTTGGGGGATGATGATACTAATGGCTGCTAGATATATATATCAGGTGAGGATAATCTTGACTTCCTTTGCCCGAAACTGATATTTTTCTTTCCTTAGAACGTCTAACACCTAAAGTCATTAAGCTGGACTTGGGTTGCTCCCAGACCAGCTATAATGTCCTTTTGATCCAAACTCTTCTTTATGATCCTGTTTCTTTTCCCATCAAAATTGCCCTCTGCTGCCTCATGCTATTTGACCTCTTGATTCTCCTTCTCTGGTGAGTTACAATAGCATGAGAAGCGTTAACCAGATAATGGTTTTCCTCTGAAAGGTAGCACTAATGGCATGCCATCATGTACATAGACGGGCAGGAAAACAAAGTTTATGGCCGAATACATCTGGAAAATGCTGCATGCTGCAGCCGCCTCTTACGATTCACAACACATATTAGCATATTAAAGGTTTTACAAAGTCCTGCCAAGAGTAATCTGTTTAACTTGGTTTCACTCAGCATTTCCCAAATCAATTGGATTGAGGGAGCTCTGGTGGCGTTATATATAAAAAGCCGTGCTGCTGATGCAAAGGCTGCATGTCCTCAGCAGTTCAAATCCAGTGGCTGTTCAGTAGAAACAAGGACATGCTCCTTCCATGCGATTTACAGCATGAGAAACCCAATGGAAAGTCAGCTAAGAGTTCTGATCTGTTGGCAATGCGTTTTAAAAACTCTCTTTATGCTAAGATGTACATTAGCATTCATGTGGGAAATACCTACACATCTATTTTAAATCGATTTAAAGAAGTGATGTAGGGAGTGATACCAGGAATCGCTGGATGGCCCAGATGATTACACACTGCACCAACCACAAGGCCACACCCATCCAGAGAAGCCTAGGAAGGAAAGCTTGGCAGTCTGCTTCTGAAAACCCTGCCATCTTTCCTGTAGCATGTGGGGTCGCCTTGAGTCAGAGTGACTCCATAGCAACGAGTTTGAAATTATTTTTTATTACATTATTTTTTATACTAGTTTATACTAGTATAAATTATACTAGTTTATGTACAAAATATGAGTATATTGTTTTCCAGACCAGATTCCTTCAATTTCCCTCACCCCCACCCATCAAATTGTACAACGCTATGATTCATCATCGCCCCCCAGGTCCTCATCCCTCTGCTTCTACCCTCCCCCACCCCCTTTTGTTTTCCATTTTTGTTTGTTTTCTTTTCTAATTATAGAGTGGTTCTGGGAGTTTGAGGGTTTTAGACAGGAAAATGGACATGGGTAGACGAATAGGAAGCCAATCTCAGAACACAGAAAACTATTTTTTTCCTCTCATAAAAGAAGAGGCAGGAAATGTCCCAACTATTCTCATCTTATTGAAATTTCCCAAAGCCTTCTTTATGTTTCGGGCTCACCCCTCTGCCCCTCTGGCAGGTGGACAGTCTA